ATTATCTACTTCTAAAGTTTTTTTTACTTCTTAATTAATTGGCCTCTCAGAGTTGGTAAGACAACTCCCACCTGTTTATGCTCTCTGTATGTGTGTGTATATATATCTCCTCAATATATGTTCCATTCTATATGCATCCGAAGAAGTGGGCTGTAGTCCACGAAAGCTTATGCTCTAATAAATTTGTTAGTCTCTAAGGTGCCACAAGTACTCCTGTTCTTCTTTTTACTAATACTACTGCTTGGCTATTATGCTCTTGTAACAGCTGGAGTTAGTGCCAAAATATCTTCTCTCTCTAGCTATAGCAATTAGAGATATGTCTAACAAGAGCCCTGTGCAGTCTGAAAGGCAGGAGTGAAATGCTGGGCTGACCGCCCTGAAGGCTCAAATCCTCTGTTTATGTACAGGATAAGTACAACATAGACAGCTGCAGTACAAGCTTCCTTCACACACTGAACTGCCAGTTATCTAGGGTGACCAGATGTCCCAATTTTATAGGGACAGTCCTGATTTTTAGGTCTTTTTCTTATATAGACTCCTATTACCCCCCCAACCCCATCCCGCTTTTTCACATTTGTTGTCTGGTCACCCTACACATTGTGAAAAGGCATGGCTGCACATAGAGAAGGAAGGCCAGGATAAGAGACGAATGGAAGACATGTTGTGATCAGCGCAATCTCACTGCTGAGCTTGAGGCATTTCCTACGGAAGATGGGAGTTTACTCTCCCTGGCCTCTCTGCTGAGACTGCCAACGAGGGACCAGTTGTGACTGGCTTAGGGATGGCTTTGTAAGTCTTTCTGTCTCCCACCCCCGCACTTTTCCCCTTACCTAATGCAATTTGTATGGAAGTTGCAATGGAAGAAGTTCCATTGTATCAGTTGACCCCCTGGAACATAGATTGAAGATTCAGACGTAGGGTGATTTGATTGGTTGAATATTACTAGAAATGGGCTCCCTTGGAGGAGGAAATTAGAGCACTGACTTTCAAGGTGCAGATCGTGGAGCTGCTAAGATGGCAGCTAAGTGAGTAGGAGCAGTGATAAACTAACATATTGGATACTGTAGTTTGATCCTACTTCCTGTGAGGGAGGTAAACAAACAGTACTTTAATGGCACACTCAAGGCCATTCACCTTCCTCCATGAACAAACTTCACTTGTTAGCACTTCAGCTCTCACCATGCGTATTTTGTTCTGATTGTTATATACACTGCCCTCTTTCACTTTCCATTATGCTTGGTCCCCAGGATCCTGGCTGTATGTCATGGAGTCATGTATAAGCAGCTCTCTGCCTGGATGCTGCATGGACTGCTCCTGGACCAACATGAAGAGTTCTTTGTTAAACAAGGCCCATCTTCTGGGAATGTCCCTGCCCAGCCTGAAGAAGAGGATGATGACCTGGGAATTGGGGGACTAACAGGAAAACAGTTGCGAGAGCTGCAGGACCTGGTGAGATTGCAGGTCAAAGCATGGCATTCTCAGAGCATTAGAGAATGTAGTCAGAAATCTGTCTTTTTCTGCTTCAGTGAAAGAGCCATGACTTAACGGGCATTAATGAGCCATGGTAGGATGACAAATCAATGAGATACTGTAATATGCAGCTACAAACTAGGCAAAAAGGACTGGTGAGGTCATAGAGGTGGGGGATATGGAATATTTTAAGCATTATGCCACACGTGTCAAACAAGAAAAGAAGCAGGAAAGTAAGAAAAGGAGAAAAGTTTAGCATGGATAAATGACTAAGTCCATGAGGTTCAGACTAAGCAGATATCCTTCAGAAAAGGGAGATTCAATTCTAGTGAAGCCATTAGAAAGGATCAAATTACAGCAAGTAAAGTGAGGAGGTGGGTGAGGTAATATCTTTTATTGGACCAACTTCAAGCTATACAGAGTTCTTCAGGTCTGGGAAAGGTACTTAGTTGTGACACTTTAGCACCTTCCTGAAGAAGGGCTCTGTATAAGCTCAAAAGCTTCTCACCAACAGAAGTTGGTCCAGTAAAAGTTATAACTTCACCCACCTTGTGTCTCTAATATCCTGGGACCAACACTGCATCACCTTGATAGATTGGTCCGTCAGCCCTCATATAGATTGCGCTGATCACAACACGTCTTCCATTCTTCTCTTATCCTGGCCTTCCTTCTCTGTGTGCGGCCATGCCTTTTCATAATAAAATCTTCCCATCTCTTTGGAGGTCGTTTGAGTGGTTGTTTCAGTTCCCGTGGGTGCCACTTGGCGACAGCTGCAGTCCATCAGTTGCCAGTGAGCCTCGCTATATACCCGGCCCATCACATTTTACTGTACCTGCTTTCAACAACAACGTCCTGCACTCCAGTCTGCTGTCTGATCACTTCATTGGGGACTTGGTCGCAGGTTGAAATCCCCAAAATTCTTTCCATCACCCTCTCCACGATAGACAGTTGTTGCTCCTCTATCTTTGTCAGTACCCAGGTTTCGTTGCTGTACAACATTGCCAGCAGTACTGTTGAGTTGAAGAGGTCAGAACATGTTGCCTTATTGATTTTTCCTTGGAGGACATCCTTGATAGAATTGAATGTGTGCCAACCAGTTTTCTTTCTTTGCGAGAGTTTGCCTTCCTGATTATGGCGCATGTTAATTTCTTGGCCCACATAAACATATAGCTCATCTTCTATTTGTTCTCCCTTGACGACTATTTGGGCTTTTGGCAAGGGATCAGACTGCATACATTTCATTTTAGAGTGGTCCTTTTGTGTTGAGTTCTCGCAGCATTTTCTGTAGTATGATGGTGTTTTCAGCAATTAACATGATATTGTCCGCGAATTTGAGGTGGTTTAACTGCTCTCCATTGATGCTAATTTCACCCTTCCAATTCATCTGCTTCATTACCATTTTGAGGTAGGCTGTGACGAATTTCGGTGAAATCGTGTCTCCTTGCTTCACACCTCTTTTGACTGGGATGCGAACAGGAGTGTTGAACAGCATTATATCCACGGTGCAGTAAGAGTTTGCTTCCTTTAGTAGTTTGAGTCGATGCCCTGCTCTAAAAGAGTTTTCAGCACTGCATTGATCTCTATGCTGTTGAACGCTTTTTCATAATTGTTGAAGGCAATGCATAAAGGGAATTTATATTCCCTTGAGCACTCCAATAGCTGGTTTATAGTGAAGATATGGTCTATTGTGCTCAAATTCCTTTGAAAACCTGCTGCTCTGTTGGCTGCTGTTCATCCAGATTCTGTGAGAGTTGGTTTGTTGTTATTTTGGTGAGCAGCTTGTAGACATGTGAGAGCAGACATATTAGAATCATAGAAGATTAGGGTTGGAAGAGACCTCAGGAGGTCATCTAGTCCAACCCCCTGCTCAAAGCAGGACCAATGCCAACTAAATCATCCCAGCCAGGGCTTTGTCAAGCCGGGCCTTAAAAACCTCTAAGAAAGGAGATTCCACCACCTCCCTAGGTAACCTATTCCAGTGCTTCACGACCCTTCTAGTGAAATAGTGTTTCCTATTATCCAACCTAGACCTCCCCCACTGCAACTTGAGACCGTTGCTCCTTGTTCTGTTATCTGCCATCACTGAGACAGCCTAGCTCCATCCTCTTTGGAACCCCCCTTCAAGTAGTTGGGCTGCTAACAAATCCGCCCTCACTCTTCTCTTCTGCAGACTAAACAAGCCCAGTTTCTCAACCTCTCCTCATAAGTCATGTGCCCCAGCCCCCTGATCATTTTTGTTGCTCTCTGCTGGACTGTCTCCAATTTATCCACATCCTTTCTGTAGTGTGGGGCCCCAAACTGGACGCAATACTCCAGATGTGGCCTCACCAGTGCCGAATAGAGGGGAATAGTCAAGAGGGGAATAATCACTTCCCTCGATCTGCTGGCAATGCTCCTACTAATGCAGCCCAATATGCCGTTAGCCTTCTTGGTAACAAGGGCACACTGCTGACTCATATCCAGCTTCTCATCCACTGTAATCTCCAGGTCCTTTTCTGCAGAACTGCTGCTTAGCCAGTCGGTCCCCAGCCTGTAGTGGTGCACGAGATTCTTCCGTCCTAAGTGCAGGACTCTGCACTTGTCCTTGTTGAATCTCATCAGATTTTTTTTGGCCCAATCCTCCAATTTGTTTAGGTCACTCTGGACCCACCCTCCAGTGTATCTACCTCTTCCCCCCAGCTTAGTGTCATCTGCGAACTTGCTGAGGGTGCAATCCATCCCATCATCCAGATCATTAATAAAGATATTGAACAAAACTGGCCCCAGGACCAATCCCAGGGGCACTCCGCTTGATACCAGCTGCCAACTAGACATCGAGTTGTTGATCACTACCCATTGAGCCTGACAATCTAGCCAGCATTCTATCCACCTTATAGTCCATTCATCCAATCCATACTTTAACTTGCTGTCAAGAATACTGTCGGAGACCATATCAAAAGCTTTGCTAAAGTCAAGATATATCACGTTCAATGCTTTTCCTGTATCCACAGAGCCAGTTATCGTATCATAGAAGGCAATCAGGTTGGTCAGGCATGACTTGCCCTTGGTGAATCCACGTTGACTGTTCCTGATCACCTTCCTCTCCTCCAAGTGCTTCAAAATGGTTTCCTTGAGGACCTGCTCCATGATTTTTCCGGGGACTGAGGTGAGGCTGACCGGTCTGTAGTTCCCCAGGTTCTCCTTCTTCCCTTTTTTAAAGATGGACGCTATATTTGCCTTTTTCCAATCGTCCGGGACCTCCCCTGATCACCATACGTTTTCAAAGATAATGGCCAATGGCTCTGCAATCACATCAGCCAATTCCCTCAGCACCCTCGGATGCATATTGGATGATAGTTCTTCAGATCTTCGTGATCACCTTTCTTGTACAGCAAAATGATGTTGGACTTTTTCCAGCAAGAGGTTATTTTTGCATTTCCAAGCAAGGCTAAACCTTTGAGCAAGGGTTTACCAGAGGTCTTGGCCTCTAGCTCTTATTTTGGTTTTAAGTCGGTCTTTTCCTGAAGCTTTTCCTTCCTTCGTTTGATAAACTGTATGCCAAACTTTGCTGATGAGGACTGGGAGTCTGCGCTCATTGGTCTCTTGAAGTGTTGGTAGCGTGACATTTATATGAGATTCGAACAGTTCGGTGTAGAAATCTTTGCAGACCGTTTCCATCCCTGTCTGTCAATTACTGCTTTTCTGTCCTTGTTCTTCAGCACCATTATTGTCAACCTGTTCAGCATCAGTTCCTTATCAGCAAAGTTCTTGTAGTCCTCATTGCAGTTATCTATGAGGCTCCAGTCTTCTTTGGAAATATTTACTTTCGAGATTGCTTCGTCGAATATTTTTGACTGCAGTTTCTGATTTGCCATCTGTAGCGCTTTCTTCTCCACCTTTTTTGTTGGCGTTGAGCCTCGCTCTGAGCAAGTGACGGTCACTACTGGTGTTGAATGATGGTACTACTGAAATGTCTTGTACGATGCGCCGCTGATCAATCAGAATATAGTCAATCTCGTTCTTATTCTTCGCATTGGGTGCGATCCATGTCCACCTCTTCTTAGCCTTCTTAAACCAGGTGTTATCAATGAACATTTCTTTAGTCTCCGCCAGAGTTGCCAGGCGCTCTCCTCATGGATTCCATTCACTGATGTCATACCTTCCAATGAATTTTTCGCCTTCTTTCCTCCTTCCGACCGTGGCGTTGAAGTCTCCCTTCACAATCGTATATATGGATTTTTGAGCGAGGGTTTCCTCAAGCTCCTGATAGAATTTTTCCACATCATCTTCACTTGTGCACAACACTGAATACAGTAAAGTGTACTATTATGCAGCCTCGCACAGTATGGCTGTTTGTCCTTCTGTAGCAGTTAGACCAGCAAGGTTTGAGTGTGGTACTGAATTCAAAGTAATGAACTTGGTCCTTTAGCTCAAACAGTAGAGGCCTCTGTTTTAAGATCCAGCATTCCCAGACTCCATTCAGATGGCCTGACTGGGGCATTGTTACCAAAGTATGGAGATTGCTTAGAGGCAGTAGCAGATTTAAAGTTCTAGTTGATCCAGCCACTAGTGGGAGACCAAACCACACTTAAGTCCATCTGTCTGTGTGAAAGCTACGCTAAGAGGGATTTTTAAGGGCAGATAGTCAAAGACAAAAATTATTTCAGTATATTCTACAGGAAGTCTGAGAGAATTGGTAAATCTGCACAATCTCGAGGCGGTGAAAGGGCTGTTAAGGAGAATAAAGACACTGCAGAGGAGCCTAATGATATCTTTTCCTCAGTCTTCACCATAGAGGACATTGGAGATTCCTGCCTGAGGGCTACTTTTTTCCAGTTAATAAAGATGAGGCACCCTCAGATTGAGGTATCAGCAGAGGAGGGAGGTACTAGAATGAACTGATAGATGAAGACTGCTCAGTCCTGCTGACTTGTTCTTAATTTAAGAGTGCTGGAGGGACTTGAGAACAGAGTGGCTGAACTGTTAACAAAAATATGCAAATACTTCCTGAAATCAGCTATTAAATTGGAGAACCAGAGACTAACAATTCAGCTCTTTAAAAATGGTACTGAGGTGATCCTTGGATTATGAACCAATGAACCTTACTCATCAGTACCAAGACAACTGATTGAAATACTGATTAGAGAGTTATGAAATATCTAGATTAACAGAAGGACAAAGTAGCACTGCTGTTAAGGAAAATCATGCATTTCTACTTTACAGAATTTCTGAATATGTTAACAGAATACTGGATAAAATAGAACCAGTTAATATAGCACTATATTTTCAAAAAGCCTTTCATATGCAGCTATCAAGAAAAGAAATTACTCAAGGGGTGAGAGGCTGCTGGCATAGATTAGAAACAGGCAAAAACACCACTGGGATCAGTTAGACTTACCTGTATCTGAATAATATAGGGTGGGTTTGTCTTTTTTCCACTATATTTACATTGGTTTTCCTCTCTCTTGTTTTTTCGTCCCATGCACCTTTCTTTCTGTCTGTTCCCCCAATCCCTCTTTCTGCCTGGCCTTGTGTTTTCTACTGCTTCCACATTCATCTCCTTGGGGGTTGTGATAGCGCCTGATTGAGGAGGAGAACATGTTAGCACCATCTCTGAAACAGTTTTCTCTGCGAGTGGAAATGTTACCATCGTACATCCCTGTCCGGGTTGCTGAGAAAATCCTCTTTGTGGGAGAATCAGTACAGATGTTTGAGAATCAAAATGTGAACCTGACCAGAAAAGGTAGGAAACACCTGCCCTGTTGGCTTGTTTACTTGGCTTCTTGCCAGAACTTGGCTGCCCCATGATCTTTGTTCATTTTGATTAACTGCAGAGTACTTTCCAAAGAGTTGTATCATACATCTCTCAATACTATGATCTTTGGTTTGTCTGGATTCAGCTGAGAAGAGTTTTAAATAGTTGGTCCAACTCCAGTGCAAGAACCAGCACTTTCTTTGGACTTACAAGCCATGCTTTGAAGCCATGGAGGGTTGTACTCCCTCCCATTTAGCTCTTAAAGTTGTGGTTATCACAGCAGCCAAGAGTGTGTATTCAGGTATTTCTGGCTGACCCACCCTTCAGTGTTTCATAGAGAAAAGCTTGTCTATATCCACACCAAAGATCCTGCCAAAAGGATGCCCAAATTCCATCTCATCCAGTTCTCTAGTCTTCTCCTCTTCCCATCCCCAAATCTCACAACTTTCCAGCAGAAGGGACATGGCACAAGTTGGATATAAAGAGGCTTAGAGTAACTATCCATATCCAATCTTGTTAGTTATATAAATTCTGTTCTAATGCCTTATGGTGTAGAAACCTGTTCTATCAGACGAGGCAAGCTCTCAGAGCTGATGCAATGAATGCTTTCCTCTCTGAGACCTGCCACAGAGCTCCATTCACATTTTCACTCAGCCCTGCTCTCTCAGCTTTGGAGTCACGCACAGATACCAGTACAGGGACAGCAGTGGTCATGTGTCCATCCCCCACCCCGGACAAACGACTTCATAGCTATTAGGACTACATGCAAAAGTTTGTCAGACAATTGTTGGGGAGGCAATAGTTAGTGCAACTTAGCCCTTAAACTTTGTAGCACAGTTGAATTTGTGGATGCAGTAAAATCTGTGCACTATCAAAATCAACAGCTCCTTTGCTGGCAAACTTCCTGAATTCCTCCTTCCCGCCCCCCCCCCCCCTCACTTCAGTCTCCCTTAATATTTCCTCTTCACCGGAAATGGACCCCCACCAAGCATCCTTCTTGAGAGCCTCCCACCTTGGGTTCAGAGGTCTTTACGTGGCAATCCCACTGGGAGTGTACACTGTCACACCCCTTCACGGTATCTCCCTCGCTTATGCCCCTCTGTTCCAGCTGAACTATTCCTCAGCCAGTGAGTCAGCTGACACACACACTGGTTTGCCAGCACAAGAGTGTTTGCCACTAGCAGGGACAGTAATAGGTGGTGTGGAGCTGGTAGCTGAGGGGTGGTGAGGAGTGCAGCTACCACCTCTCCCTCAACTCCATCCAGCAGTCCATCCATGGATCACCAGCTGGTATTCCTGCTCTGATTATCCACCTGCTGTTCGTCAGAGTGAATACTAGCTGGTGAACCATCAGTGTCTCGCCAGCTGAGGTGTGGCGCAGCTGAAGCAGGGGGGGTTATTATTGGTGGGGCAGGGCACGTGAGAGAGCATGGGTGGGGGAGAAGGGGTGGTAGGATCAGAGTCCATTCCTGAGTAAGGAAGATTCTGTGGGGGGCCATTCCCAAAGAGGGCATGGTGTGGAGGGAGGAACAGAATGGGACTTGCAGCCAGCAAACTAAGGAGGTTTGCCAGCTGAGGCAGTTGTCCCTGCTGAGCCGGCCAAGATGAGCCTGCATCTGGGTTTTTTTTTTTTTGGGGGGGGCGGCAATGTAGACACAAAGGCAAACCTTAGACCAGGTGAGGGTGACTAGTGAGGATGCACTTGATAGTTGGTGCTTTATTCAGTGTTCTTGTGTAGACAAGGCCAAAGACCGTAAGAGAGAGGGGTTTGGTTTTTAGTTTAGTTGGTCAAAAAATCTGATCTGAGTCCTGGATTGGGATGGAACTAGCAGGAAACGTCATTGCTTGCAGAGTGACAGATGCTGTGCTATTGTGACAAGCAGCTCTGTAGGCTGTCTGGAAATGTTCCATTTACCAGATGGCCTAGAGCTGTAGGTAAGTAGTATTTGTTGTCCAATGAGTAAGCGACTTTGGGCATGAAGGGCTGGCACAATGTTCCTAGGCAATCCACACATACAACTTTCCTGGGCAAAGGTTGCTGAACAGTCTGTTAATAGCATACCTGGAAAGTGTCTTGCTTTTTCGTGCTGTTTTACTTGAGTCCAGATGCTCTTCTCTTTTCTGGGTAGGCTCCATCTTGAAAAACCAGGAAGACACTTTTGCTGCAGAGCTACACCGCCTCAAGCAGCAGCCACTCTTTAGTCTGGTGGACTTTGAGGCTGTGGTTGACTGGATTCGGAGCACGGTTGCTGAGGTAATCCCAACATGGGGGGTCCTGGGTCCACAACTCCTACCAGAGGCTTAAACACCTTGGAACCCTATGCCTCTCCCTTTGCAGCTTAGAAACACCACATGGACCAAGTCTTTGGAGAGCTCCTTGGTTCTAGAAGACAGGGTGTGTCAGAACCTGCAGAGCGAGTGAGCTTCTGGGGAAGGTGGGACACGGTAGAGCTCATGAGGTGAACAGGTGTGGAAGGAGCAGGCAGTGGAGCTGGAGACTTCACAGGGCTCCTGAGCTCCATGTTGTGTCAATGTTTAGTGAGACAAGGAAATTAATGGACAACTATTGCTTATTTGCTGTGGGAGGAAAAAAAGGAGTTAATGTGTCCACAGACTTCTAAAACTGTACTGAGAGGATAATGCTGGAGGATACGTTTGTTTATTGAATGTACATTATGATAGTGTACTCGTACATTTATTTACAAGATTATATGAAAAGTGAGTATTTGAACATTTACCTACCCTCCTTTATTTTTTCATTTCCATAGTTTTAAATACTTAGTTAAAATATACATATTAAGGAGAGTTACAGTCCAAAACACCCTAAGAAGCAACTTTAATGAAGTTTTGTCTGTTAATTATAAAACTTGTCAATAGAGCCCATATCAATGACCTCAAAGGAATAATGCTCGTCCTGCCCATTTACCCAAGCCATCCCCTGAGGGAAGTGAATTGGAATCAAGCAGTTCCTAGAAGGAGGGATGGAGTTGGTTTGGTAACAGAGTTTGATTTCATTACAATTTGTTATAACTACCTGTATTTGACTGATATTTAAGAAATCCTGGTTGCAGTTTGCTGCCAGAAGTAATCATGCTGGTGTGAGTTAGAGGGTTCATTAATTAGTAACATGGGCTGCCAGCAAACGGATGCTCCCTCTTCCTATTCTGCCCTAGTATTGGATGGATTCAGTTATATGTAGTACTTTTTTTTTTTTAAACTTATGCTCATTATCGTGGTATTCTGAGTGTGGTAGCTAACGGGTTCAGTTAAGAACACTGAGTTTGGAGTGCTGGGTTCTGCTGAGCATGTTCTGGTTTCTCCTTAGCACCTATGGAAACTGATGGTAGAAGAATCAGATTTACTAGGACAACTAAAGGTAACCTAACTTTCTCTGAAAAAGCTGAAATTGAGAGATTTTTAAATGAGTTCTTTCCCATCCAATGTCAGCACTCATTTTCTGTGTTTGCCTCCATTGGACAAAGCTGTTTTTGCCTCCTATATTCTAAAAATGGGAGCACATGGCATGATCTTTCAGGGTCTATGATAGAATCAGAGAAACGTAGGGCTGGGAGGGAGCTCAAAGTCATCAAGCCCAGTCCCCTGCACTGAGGCAGGACCGAGTAAACCTAGATCATTCCTGACAGATATTTGTCTAACCCAGGAGTTCTCAAACTTCATTGCACCGTGATCCCCTTCTGACAACAAAAATTACTACATGACCCCGGGAGTGGGGGACTGAAGTCTGAGCCTCCCATCCAAGCCCCATGGCCCTTGCTGGGGGTCCAAAGCTGTAACTCAAGAGCTTCAGATTGGGGGGAGGGGGGGCTGTAACCTGAGCCCACCACCCAGAGCTGAAGCCCTTGGGCTTCAGCTTTGGCCACGAGCGGTGGGGCTCAGGCTTTGGCTTTAATCCTGGGCCACAGAAGTCTAATGCCAGCCCTGATGACCCCATTAAAACAGGGTCACGACCCACTCTGTAGTCCCAACCCACAGTTTGAGAATTGCTGATAACCTGTTCTTAAAAACCTCCAATGATGGGAATTCCACAACTTCCTTTTGAAGCCTGTTCCAGAATTTAACTACCGTTATGGTTAGAAGGATTTTCCTAATATTTAACCTAAATCTTCCTTGCTTCAGATTAAGGCCATTACTTCTTGTCCTACCTGCAATGGACATGAAGAACAATTGATCACCATCCTCTTTATAAACAGCCCCTCATGTATTTGAAGACTACACCTCCCACCACACCAAATCTTCTTTTCTCAAGACTAAACTTGCCCAGTTTTTTAATTTTTTTTAACCTTTCCTCACATCATGGACCGTGAAATCTGGTCTTTTGTGTGCTTTTACCCTATACTATACAGATTTCATGGGGGAAACCAGCATTTCTCAAATTGGGGGTCGTCCTGACCCAAAAGGGAGTTGTAGGAGAGTCACAAGATTTTAGGGGGGGTTGCGGTATTGCCATCCTTACTTCTGCACTGCCTTCAGAGCTGGGCGGCCAGAGAGTGGCGGCTGTTGGCTGGGTGCCCAGCTCTGAATGCAGTGCCTCTGCCAGCAGGCAATACCATACCATGGCATCCTTACTTCTATGCTGCTGCTGGCGACGGCTCCGCTTTCAGAGCTGGGCAGATGAACAGTGGCGGCTGCTGACTGATGGCCCAGCTCTGCAGGCAGCAGCACAGAAGTAAGGGTGGCAATCCCATACCATGCCACCCTCCTGTGGTGCTGCTGCTGGCAGTGGCTCTGCCTTCAGAACTGGGCTCCTGGCCAGCAGCAGAACAGAAGTAAGGGTAGCAGTACTGCAAACCTCTTTCCCCCCCCCCCCCTCTTTCTGGGGTAAGGAACCCTACAATTAGAATACTGTGAAATTTCAGATTTAAATAGCTGAAATAATGAAATTTATGATTTTTTTAATCCTATGACTGTGAAGTTGACCAAAATGGACTGTGAATTTGGTAGGGCTCTACTCATAGATCAGGTTTTCTAAACCTTTGATCATTTTTGTTGCTGTATTCTGGCCTCTCTCCAATTTTTCCACATTTTTCCTAAAGTGTGGCTCCCAGAACTGGACACTGTGCTCCAGGTGAGGCCTCACCAGGGCTGAGAAGAGCAGGACAATTATCTCCCATGTTTCACATACAACACACCCATTAATACACCCCAGAATATCAGCCTTTTTCACAACTGCATCACGTTGTTGATTCATATTCAGTTTGTGATCCACTATAACCCCAGATTCTTTTTAGCAATACTACCACCTAGCCAGTTATTCTCCATTTCATAGTTGTGCATTTGATTTTTCCTTCCTAAGTGCAGTACTACGCACTTGTCTTTATTGAATTTCATTTTGTTAATTTTAGACTAATTCTCTAATTTGTCATTGTTTTGGATTCTAATCCTGTCCTCCAAAGTGTCTGCACTCCCTCCCAGGTTGGTGTCATCAGCAACTTCTATAACCATACTCTCCACTCCATTATCCAAGTCATTAATGAAAATTGGAAGAGTTCCAGAACCAGGATTGAACCCTGTGGAACCCCAGTAAATATGTCCTTCCAGTTTGACAGCAAACCATTGATAACTACTTTGAGTATGATCTTTCAACCAGTTGTGCACTCACCTTATAGTAATTTTATCTAGACCACATTTCCGTACGAGTCATTCTCTAGGATTCACCAAGTGTGTGTGTGTGTTGCAATCTGCATCTTGGAGAGACACCACAGACCTTTGGGACATAAGACTGATTCTTCCCAAAACCAGAAATCCTGCTCTGGAGATTCAGGTTGTACAGCTGCTCTTTAAAATGGTACAAACTGCAGTCCAGTAATGAAAGCAGATACTATAAATCAGGAAAGGTAGGTAAGTGGGGGTTTTATAATTTCTGTTCAGTTCTTTAGAGTTTTGAATTTAAATATTTTTCTTCACAGATTATTAAGGATTTTTATCTATTGGGGAGAGGAGAATTGTTCCAGGCCTTCATAGACACTGCACAGCACATGTTAAAAACCCCACCCACAGCTGTAACGGAACATGGTGAGTAATCATTATTCAGTTGCCAAGACCTGCTCACTCTGCCCACTGTGGTAAGAGGACACCAGCCTGTGTGAGACTCATTCAGTTGTGTCCTGGTGCTTGTGCTCAAGTGTGAGACTCGAGCAATCACCAAGGATGAACCTGTATTTTCCCACTGCAGCATGCAGCTGTCTTAACATTGCTCTGGATAGTCTCCATGACATCAGAGCTAAGTAGATGTAGGTGGCAGTGTGCTGTAGAGAACAATCCTGCATTGTCCAAGGAGTAAGATCAACTAAATGGGATCTAAAAGGGCTTTTCCTTCTTCTCTTTTATATTGGTCATTTACCAAACAATTGCCTAGTAATTTGGTAAATTACTTTGCAAACACAGGCAGGTCATATCTTTGGATGAGTGCACTGGGAGAGAGAAGCTGCCATCTTGGCATATAGAAGCACCCCCTTTACTTCTTAGAGATGAGGACATGCAGGTTGCTGAACTAGAATGTAGAATGTCATACAGACTGGCCATCCCTTCATGACTCTGTCAAGTATCCCATGTGGTAGGGCAGGTCAGTGTTCCAAAGCTGAGGCAGGAAATCATTGAGAGGGATGGGAACTAGTTGCAATTTAGAACATTGCCTTTGAGTCCCAGCATGAGCTACTAAGGACTGAGTAGAATTCTCAGCCTCTGGCCCCCTAGCAACTCTGTGGTTGGTGTCAATTGTACCTTGATGCTCTCTTTGACATTCATGCTCTTTCCCTATCAGATGTCAATGTTGCGTTCCAGCAGTCTGCTCACAAGGTGTTGCTAGATGATGATAACCTCCTTCCTTTGCTCCACCTTACCATTGAGTATCATGGAAAGGAGCATAAAGGTATTGACTTGGGCCTGCTTGCTAAGGGTGGGGATAGTGGTGCTGGCCTGCTTCAGTCTCTCTCTTCATACTGCAGACTTTTAGGATTAAGAAATATTAACTCTGTGTGCTCCCTCTCCTCTTTTGCCTTCATGACTCAGAAGTTTCTCCCCCCTCTCCCACACCGCATTGTACCTTTGGATGCCCTGCCGCTGCTGCCTCTCATTCAGTCCTTCCCTCCTTTGTTTCTTACCAGGTATGTCTCCCCCCACTAAGAATCTATACATGGGTTATAGTTCAGCAACTCTATTCTTTTCCAGATGCTTCTCAGGCTCGTGAAGGGCCTTCCCGGGAGTTATCTCCCCGTGAAGCCCCCACATCTGGTTGGGCAGCTCTGGGGCTCTCTTATAAAGTGCAGTGGCCATTGCACATCCTCTTCACTCCTGCTGTCTTGGAGAAGTGAGTACCCGATTCTTGTCTGTTCATGTAGGCAGCCCACCTTGTAGGCATCAGCCATGCAGTGATTCTCTATCCTTCACACTGAATGAAGGAAAAAAGCTTCATTGCCTTTGTCTGCTTTCCAAATTATTCGGCATAACTTACTTACATTATGGCCACTTGTTGCTGATGTCATGGCGAGTGCGGTAAGGTACTGCTAGATTTACTTCTCCCTCAACAATCTGTCCATCTACAGCTCTACTCCTTCCTCCTCATGGTGAAACTCCTGCAGAGCACTAACAGAAAACCCCTGTAGCCTGATAGGTGTATCAATTGGTTGATAAGGGTTCGGTCTCCTGAGTGGCTACAGCATCAGGAAGGTTATTCCCACTATCATTAGAATGTGAGACCTGAGGAGCACATGAGAAACTATTGCAATTTATCACAAGTCTCTTTATTACAAATCCACTAAGCAGCTAAATAGTCTCACAAACACAGAAATACAACAGCAGATTGAGTGAAGTGTTTAACCCTGTAACTGGCATCAGATCTCCTGCTGGGGAACCCTGGAGTGTCAGTCATGATCTCCTCCTCCTCATCATCACCAGTGGGTTTCGTTGTGGCATCTCCCAAGGCACACAGGCTGAGATACAGCTTTTATAATGTGTAACGCTGATGCCCACTTGGGTTCAGACATATTTATGAAGGTTTCATCTATATTTTATCTGTTTCCATACCCCACTAAATTTGGGGTGCCCCATTTTCCATAGGTTAACTTTTTAGTTCCTTTTATACCTATTAACATTTACATTACTCGATCACTATCACAACTTGTGGTTGGCACTTTACTGACACCCTATGTCTGCAAACATCCCCCAAATACTCTAACCGGCTTTAACTGGTACATGGATATATATATATATATATATTTCCTAAATATCAGCAGTTAACACTGCTGTTCCTGTGACGGTTTCATCTTGTGACAGGGTGACTCAGGGGTAAGGCTGCATTTTAGTCACTGGTATTTTTAGTAAAAGTCACGGACAGTAAACAAAAATTCACATCCCTTGACCTGTCCATGACTTTTTTACTAAAAATACCAGTGAATAAAACTTGAGGTGGGGGGGAGCCTTCCCAGGGGCCCCATTGGTGCTGGGGGGAGGGTGTGGGGCAGTGGCACGTGGCCTGGGACTCCCGCTGGTGCTGGAGGGGAGTGGTTGGCGGGGATGGCAGGCTCCCTACCTAGCTCCATGCCTCTCCCCAGCAGCAGAGTTTGGGTGTAGGAGGGGACAGGGGACGGGTTGAGGTGGGCTCTGGGTGGCGCTTACCTGGGGGTTTCCCCAGAGGCAGCGACATCCCCCTCACTCAGCTGCTAGGCGGAGGCACTGCCCTTGCAGCTCCCATTGGCTGCGGTTCCCAGACAATGCGAGCTGTGAAGCCAGCGCCAAGCCTCTGCCTAGCAGCTGAGTGAGGGGGATGTTGCTGCTTCCAGGGAGCCCCCTCAAGTAAGCCCTGCCCAGAGCCCACTTCACCTTGTCCTGTGCCCCAACCCCCTGCCCCCTCCCACACCCAAACTCTGCTGCAGGGGGGTGGGGGGAGCAGTGGCCTGAGACTGCTCCAGCAGGGACCGATGCATCTAGTGCAGGGGCTGCCCCTGAGCCAGGCGCATTGGCCCCTGCAGAGGTCACGGAGGTCATGGAAAGTCACAGATTCCATGACTAATGTGACAAACCTGCAGCCTTACTCATCAGTTAGCTACTCATGTCAGTCTATTTCTAAGCCTGAGGCCTTGTTTGACTAAGCTAAATATCTTGCAGGCTTGAGGCCAGTAGGCTCTGGGTTACAACATTAAAAAATACTTACATTTCACCTCTGTATCCTCAATATACCTGATATTTTTTTATTCTTGGTTACACCCTGAGTTCAATGCCATTAAGGACAAAAAAACATTTCTATTTACAGGGCTGGGCCATGCCCCCACCTGTTCTGCATGTTGCTGTTCTGCTCTCCTCCTCCTTTATGTCTCGTGTCCATGTTCCAACCGTTGTCTGGTGTGGGACTTGGGCTCCAAGGAAGCCTTTCTTTTTTCTTGAGAGGTTGATATTTGTCTTGGCTGCAGATACAACGTTGTATTCAAATACTTGCTGAGTGTGCGGCGGGTCCAGGCTGAGCTGCAGCACTGCTGGGCTCTCCAGATGCAGCGCAAGCACCTGAAGTCCAACAGAACTGATGCAATCAAGTGGCGTCTGAGGGATCACATGGCCTTCCTTGTGGATAATCTTCAGTACTATCTGCAGGTGGGGGTGCAGAAGAGGATGTGGTGTGCCATTTAGGCAGATAAACAGGAAGAGGGAAATGGAGGGGAGGCACTGAGCAGGCGTCTAAATCCTCTACAGCAAGACTCCGATTATGCCACACAGTATCTTTTCCTGGGGAGTTTGCCTGCAGGTTGTAGGGGAGAAGGGTGGATAGGGTGGGGAGAACAAGGACTGAAAAGCACAAAGCAAGAGCTATTAATTGCTGGACTAGTGCCAGAGCAGAACTGCTGAGCTGAGGGACCAGGGACTATCTTAAAGCTTGTGCTCTCGTGAGCCAGCAGAGCAATAAGAGAATGCTATGCAGGAATTCCAGCTTTCCAGGGATACCTCGTGTTCATAGGTAGCCCAGGTGGTGTTTGATACTATCCTGCCTTTCCTTCAAATTCAGCTGCATCCTGAGTTTAGTGGTTGCTGTTTTGAGCATTGTTAGAAACAATGCTGTAAACCAGTAGTTTTCAACCTGTGGTCCATGAACCTCTGGGGGGTCTGCAGAAGATTCTTTACCACAAAATAGTGATTTTCAACCTGTCTGTGGAACTGTTGGTCCACAGACTGTTTAAGATTTCCCAAAGGGTCTGCACCTCCATTTGAAATTTTTAAGGGGTCTGCAAAGGATAAAAGTTTGAAAACCACTGCTCTAAACATCTGAGCTTGAAACTGCAGTTTTTAAAGGGTAAAAATTTAACTTCTGGTTGCCAGGATTTTGTGAGGCTATTGGCTGTTAAAATCACACTGGCACTGTGAAATGAAAGCGGAAGCATGAGGGGTGAACAAGACAGTGATAGAAGAAAACTGATTCAGAGGTGCAAAAAGCTCAGTTTTTTGTTGAATATTAACTATATAAAAAGTGTCACAAACCTTAAAAGAAAATGACTATTAAACTCTCCCCTCAAGTGATAGTTAAACTGAAAAAATATTTAACTTCCCCAACCTTGTAGCTGATATTTTCTCCAATTAGCTTAATTGGGCAGTCTTGGTGCCTCTTGCATGTGGACCCAGGGACTGCTAATGACAACAGTATGGGACTCAGGTTGGCTTCCAGAATTTGGGTGAGCGCTACAAAGGGGCAAATTAACTTTGTTTTGTGAAACTCTTGAAATGTTACATAATTAACTAAAAGATTGAAAAAATAAATTGCTAACCCTGCTTTAGAATCCAATATTTCATGGTTTGCCAGTAGGAAAAAAGTGGGTGAGAATTTAATTAAATATTTAACAGAATTTGAAAGGTGAGAGAACTTTAAACTAGTTTTTAGACATTTTGGGGCAGGGGGGGGATGAGGGGGAGGGCAGAAAATGGCCCATTTTTGAGAAGCTCTACCAGTAAATAACAGATCCTAGATTAAGGTTCAGACAAAAGTGTTCAGACTTGTCTGGGGTAGGGCACTCCTGAGATTTTTCTAGCTCTTGCTTCAGGCAGGTTGAGGAGGCTAGGTGGAGATGGAATTGCTCCCAGCAGGTAAGGAAGAGTGGTACTAATGAGATTTCTGTACCTGCCTATCAGGTGGATGTGCTGGAGTCTCAGTTCTCACAGCTTCTGCTGCAGATAAACTCCACTCGGGATTTTGAGAGCATCCGGTTGGCTCATGATCACTTCTTAAGTAACCTGTTGGCTCAATCCTTCATCCTGCTCAAACCTGTAAGTAGATTTTGCTCTCTGGTTCTTTTCCACAAGATACCCTAGGGGTTTTATATTCCATTGTGAATAGATATGATATACCAATAACATTTCCCATATTCTTATAGATAAGGTCAGAAGGGACCACTGTGATCATCTGTGACTTCCTGTATAACTAATTCCTGTTTGAACTGAAGCATCTTTTAGAAAAACATCCAATTTTGATTTAAAAATTTCCAATGATGGAGAATCCACCACAATCCTTGATATGTTGTTCTAGTGGTCAATGATCCTCACTGTTAAGTTACCTTATTTCTAGTCTGAATTATCTAGCTTCAGCTTCCTGCAACTGGATCTTGTTATACCTTTGTCTGCTAGATTGAAGAGGCCATTATCAAAGTTTTTTTTGTCCTGTATACACCTCTACCCCGATATAACGCTGTCCTCGAGAGCCAAAAAAAATCTTACTACGTTATAGGTGAAACCACGTTATATCGAACTTGCTTTGATCCGCCAGAGTGTCGCCCCCCCCCCCCCCCGGACGCACTGCTTTACCGCATTATATCCGAATTCGTGTTATATCGGGCCGCATTATATCAGGGTAGAGGTGTACTTATAGACTAATCAAGTCTCCCCATAACCGTCTGTTTGAGGAGCTAAATAGATTGAGCTCCTTCAGTCTTTCACTATAAGGCATATTTTTCAATCCTTTAACCTTTTTTAACGGCTCATCTCTGCACCCTCTCCACTTGGTCGATCTCCTTGAATTGTAGACACCAGAACTGGGCACAGTATTCCAGCAGCAGCTGCACCAGTGCCAAACACAGGGGTAACAACCTCTCTATGCCTACTCAATATTCCCTTGTTGAGTCATTCAATGATTGTATTAGCTGTTTTGGCCCCAGTGTAGCACAGAGAGCTCATGTTCAGCTGCTTATCCAACATGCTCCCCAAATCTTTTTCAGAATCACAGCTTCCCAGGGTAGTCTCTCCCATGGTGTAAGTAGGGCCTATGTTCTTTGTTCCTAGATGTCTACATTTGCATTTCACCATATTGAAATACTTATTTGCTTGCATCCAGCTTACCAAGATGTTCAGATCACTCTATCAGTGATCTGTCCTCTTCCTTATTTACCACTCCCCTAGTCTTTATCACCTACAAACTTTCAGTTTTTCTTTTAGGATGGTCACTTATAAAAATTGTTAAACAAGGTAGAGCTAAGAAATGATTCCTGCAGAGCTCCACTGGAAACACATCTGCTCGGTTATTATTCCCTGTTCAGTTACATTCTGAGACCTTGCAGTTAGCTAGTTTTTAATCCAAATGTTGTGTAGTACCAAGTCAGATGCCTTACAGAAGTAAAAGGTAACAGTGTTGATATAATATACTTAAATCAACCAAACCTGTTATCTCAAAAAACATACCAAATTAGTTTGACAGGATCTGTTTCCCATGAACCCATGTTTATTGGCACTAATTATATTACTCTCCTTTAATTATTTTTATTAAAGGAGTTCCATAACAATCATTCCATTATTTTGACCAGGATCAATATCAAGTCATCCCATTTACACTCTATAAATATTGGCACATTTACTTTCTTCCTGTCCTCTGGAACCTCACCAGTGTTCCAAGACTTACTGAAAATCAAAATTAATGGTCCAGAGAGCTCCTCAGCCCTCTTAACTTGCAATTATGTGTTTTTTAATCTGGACCTATTTATTTAAAAATGACTTAAAGCAGATACTAATATACTCCTGAGTTATTGTTAGAATGGAAAATATTTCATCACCATATGATATGATTACATCTGGCTTTTTCTCAAATATGGAATAGAAATATCCATATTGAACACTTCTGCTTTTTCTTCAGTGACAATTCTACCATTTCCATCTAGTAATGGAGCAAAAGACCATTTAGGATTTTTTGTCCTTCCTAATATACTTTTAGGTTCCTTTATTGTTCTAAGTGATGTCTACATTTGCATTTAGTGATTTAACTAAGTGATTGGGCAAGAAAATGGCAAATGAAATTTAATGTGGATAAATGTAAAGTAATGCACAGTGGTGAAAAAATAACCCCAACTATACATACAATATGATGGGGGCTAATTTAGCTACAACAAGTCAGAAAAAAGATCTTGGAGTCATCGTGGATAGTTCTCTGAAGATGTCCACGCAGTGTGCAGAGGCGGTCAAAAAAGCAAACAGGGATGTTAGGGATCATTAAAAAGGGGATAGATAATAAGACTGAGAATATATTATTGCCCTTATATAAATCAATGGTACGCCCACATCTTGAATACTGCATACAGATGTACTGGCACTAGAAAAGGTTCAGAAAAGGGTAATTAAAATGATTAGGGGTTTGGAACGGGTCCCATATGAGGAGAGATTAAAGAGGCTAGGACTCTTCAGCTTGGAAAAGAGGAGACTAAGGGGGGTTATGATAGAGGTATATAAAATCATGAGTGATGTGGAGAAAGTGGATAAGGAAAAGTTACTTATTTATTCCCATAATACAAGAACTAGGGGTCACCAAATGAAATTAATAGGCAGCAGGTTTAAAACTTATACAAGGAAGTTCTTCTTCACGCAGCGCAGAGTCAACTTGTGGAACTCCTTACCTGAGGAGGTTGTGAAGGCTAGGACTATAACAGCATTTAAAAGAGAACTGGATAAATTCATGGAGGTTAAGTCCATTAATGGCTATTAGCCAGAATGGGTAAGGAATGGTGTCCCTAGCCTCTGTTTGTCAGAGGATGGAGATGGATGGCAGGAGAGAGATCACTTGATCATTGCCTGTTGGTCCACTCCCTCTGGGGCACCTGGCATTGGCCACTGTCAGTAGACAGGATACTGGGCTAGATGGACTTTGGTCTGACCCGGTACGGCCGTTCTTATGTCCTTAACTCTGCTGGCCATATATTTCTTCTTGTGTTCTTTTGCTTCCCTTACCAATTTTCTACAACTCCTAGCTTCTACTTTATATTCATTTCTATCAACTTCCCTTTTTCCATTTGTAATTTTTTTATCACTGCTTTCACTTCCCCTCCAAGCCATGCTTTTTGGTGGTCGTTGTTTTTGGTTTTTTTAATCACTGGAGTCTTTTTTCCTCAATGGTGGGTTTTGGGGCATCTGGTAAAATGTTCTTATAGTTCAACTTATTCCCCCTTTTTTGTGCAAATTCTCTCAGCTGATGTCTCATAATTGTATCCAGGTTTGGGAAACTAGCTCTCTTAAACTGCCAAGTTATATATTACTGGTTTGGACTTCACATTTATTATGTGCAAATAGTATGAGCAAGTCGTCGTCATTTGCACTTATGCAACCACTAAATTTGATCAATTCCTCTATCTGTCAACATGAGGTCTAATATAGAATTCTCCTGTGTTGGATGCATCATTGCATGAGAGAGAAAATTGTCATCTATAATTTTTAGGAATTTCAAGGATATTTTAATACTGGTAGCATGAAACTTCCATCATGCTGCTAAGATTGAAGTCCTCCAGGGTAATGCAGCTAGGGTCATCCTGCTCCTTAATCTAATGTGGTGGTCTGCATCATATACCGACTAATACCACATCTTACGTTTTATCTGTAAGCATTCAATATCATTTGCTTCAGTTGTCAGTGACTTGGAAACAGGTGTTTCCATTTTTGACAGTGTGCCCTCTCCCCTACACTGTACTTCCTAAAGTGATTTTAACATTCCCATCATGCAAGTCTACTTGGTTTCAGTAATACCACATAGGTCTAATTTATGCTCATAAATGAACAATTCCAATTCCTCTTATTACCTGGGCTGCTAGCATGGGTGTATAGGAAATTAAACAATCTCTTCTCTTCATATCTGTGGTACTTTGAATAACTTTGTTCTCAACATCTTGATTTTATACAAAATGAGTGCTCAGGTGTCCAATCAAATTATCTACCAGCCAGTCAAATCCCACCTCCAGTTCACTGCTTCAATGTTTGTTTACCTAATGTCTGTCTGTCTAAACTTAACAGTCCAGCTGCTCACACCTAGTGACCTTAAACAGTAGGATGGGTCATTAAAATATTTGTCCATTCCTACAAGCAATGGACAGTGCAAGTACACTTTCTAGCACCTTGTATAGTCCAGTTTTAAACCTTTACAATGATAGGACCCCCATTACTTCCTTTCAGAGAGTATAAAAACATATCCCAGATGTGATCACCCCAAAGCCTCAGATAGGGAAACTGGCACCTTACTTCTTAGGACCTATTGCTTCCTTGTATGTAGCCCAAAATTGCAATAGCCTGTTTTGCTGCCATGTTATATTTCACACATTCCTATTATGGTATTCTAGGTTTCTCCCTGGCTTTTAGTATCTGGGTTTGATTGTATTTCTGTAGAGGTATTAACTGCTTTTCCCCCACAGCACTTAAGGCCAGATGGGACCTTAGATCATCTACCCTAACCTCTGACATATATTGGAGGCCACAAAATTTCACCCAGTTACCCTTCATTGAGCCTGCTAACTTTTCTGGAAAACTTGCTTTATTCAAATAAGCACCAGGCTGGATCTAAAGACAGCAAGAGAATGACAATCATTGTTTAAAAAAAATTATGCCTTCTTCCTAAGCTGAATTCTACAAAACTGGGTGACGGGGCAACAGAATGGCAGATGAAATTCAGTGTTGATAAATGCAAAGTAACAAACATTGGAAAACATCATCCCAACTATACATATAAAATGGAGTCTAAATTAGCTGTTACCACTCAAAAAAAAATAAATCTTGGTCATTGTGGATAGTTCTCTGAAAACATCCACTCAATGTGCAGCAGCAGTCAAAAAAGCAAACAATACTGGGAATCATTAAGAACGGGATAGATAGTAAGACAGAAAATATATTGCCTCTATATAAATCCATGGTACGCCCACATCTTGAATACTGCATGCAGATGTGGTCACCCCATCTCAAAAAAGATATATTGGAATTGGAAAAGGTTCAGAAAAGGGCAACAAAAATAATTAGGGGAATGGAACAGCTTCCGTATGAGGAGAGAGTAGTAAGATTGAGACTTTTCGGCTTGGAAAAGAGACGACTAAGGGGGCATAGAATAGAGGTCTATAAAATCATGACTGGTGTGGAGAAAGTAAATAAGTGTTATTTATTCCTTCTCATAACACAAGAACTAGAGGTCACCACATGAAATTAATAGGCAGCAGGTTTAAAACAAACAAAGGAAGCATTTTTTCCACACCGTGCACAATCAACCTGTGGAAGTCCTTGCCAGAGGATGTTGTGAAGACCAAGACTATAACAAGGTTCAAGAAAGAACTAGATAAGTTTATGGAGGATAGGTCCATTAATGGCTATTAGCCAGGATGATGTCCCTAGCCTCTGTTTGCCAGAATCTGGGAATGGGTGATGGGATGGATCACTTGATGATTATCTGTTCTGTTCATTCCCTCTGAAGCACCTGGCATTGGCCACTGTCGGAAAACTGGCTACATGGACCTTTGGTCCGACCCAGTCTGGCCGTTCTTATGTTCTTATTTTGCTTATTAATGCCCAAGTTTCTAGGCTCCCTTTTTCTCCTTTTCAGATCATTAGTCCTTGCTAGGTGACTCAGCAGGGAATCTTATATCTATCCCCCTAATATTTTTCTGTTATACACCCTAACAGATTGTAAAAAGTGAATTTTAAAAGTCAGTGTCCCTATTTACGCTGTTTTCTTTTTGTGTTTCTCTCACTTTGGATGAAAATCTTTCAGGCTCTTATTGCTACGTTTGTGTTTCAAACACCTGTAGTGGATCTTTGTTTAAAAATTGTTTTCGCTCGCATTTTAAATTGTGGCAGCATGTCTCATTTGTACAAAAATCTCAAATGTTAGGCTACATTTAAGCTGCGTCCCTTCAACTTTATTAGTATGATTTTAGATTATCAGCTTTCTAAATAAGAAAAGTGATTCAAAATATTCCATATTACAGCCCTGAAGTGTCCTAATTTTAAAAGAAGTTATTGTAGAAGTAGTGGGCTCCCTGTTCATGGCTTTAAGAAAAGGAAGGGGTGAGTTAAAGTGGAAGAAATTGAAATTTATAAAGATATTTGAGGGAGGGCAGCAAATGACACTATGCTACATTCCCCCTCCTCATAGGATATTGCTGCTGTTTTTAAATAGTCAGGTCAAGCAAGACCCAATGAACCAATGTGGGAAAATGCCCTCTCATTGGCTCTGTTTTTGGCATCTAATTTTAAAATTGCTTTGTTATGACTTACTCTCTCTGCAGGTTTTCCATTGCCTGAATGAAATCCTGGATCTCTGTCACAGTTTCTGTTCTCTGGTCAGTCAGAATTTGGGCCCATTGGATGAGCGTGGAGCTGCACAGCTGAGCATCCTGGTAAAGGTGAGTCTTTGTCCATCCAGGTCCTCTCCTCCTTTCTGCTGTGTGCATACATAGGACATGACAAACAGAGCTGATTTTGGATTTAGGCTTGACAATGACAGTTACATTTTTTTTTTTAACTGATTTAGTAGAACCAGTGCAAATCCCTATGTGGACACTTACTTAGGATTAAGAGTAGCCACCCTATGTCGATCAGGAATTTGTTTTAAGCTAAACTGAAATTAAAAAGTTTTAGTTAAACTGGGGCAACTCTTATGTAGGCAAGGCAGCACCCAGGCCCTACCCTTTGCTGTCTACAAAGAACGGATGAGTGCAGAGCTGCAGCCAGCAAGCTCAAGTCACCTGTGTTGAGCAAGCAAATACAAACTTGCAATAAACTTTATAAGATTGTGGTGTTGGAAAAAGCAGCTTGTGAGTCTCAAGGTCTGTACTTTCACCCTGTGAGATCAAGCACTAGAATGTCATGGGGGAATAGCTAGCTTACCTTCAGTGGAGATGGCACAGTGTCACTTTGCTGTCAAAGGCCACTTGTCTCTGGAAGGAAATGTCACTTTAGGGCCTTGAAAGATGGTTTTGGCAGCAGTGAGGGACAGAAAGCCACAGTAGCCGTAGCATCCTCTTGTTCTGGTCTTCTGTAATTTGCAGGGCTTCAGCCGTCAGTCCTCGCTCCTCTTCAAGATTCTCTCCAGCGTTCGCAACCACCAGATAAACTCTGACTTGGCTCAGCTGCTGCTCCGCCTGGACTACAACAAATACTACACCCAGGCTGGCGGGACCTTGGGCAGGTAGGAGTATGCAGCACTGAAGCCCGTAAGGGCATCAGGCTTGGTGGTAGCAGCAACTCTGCTTTCTGAGATTATTAAAACAAAGTGGATTAATTAATTCTTGGGGATTTTATTAAGAGGTTCTGTTGTGGGAGAACTTCCATCTGGGCCCAAAATTACTTATCAAAAGGCTCAAATGGGCATTACATGGACTAAAGTGCTGCCATGTGATGGGGCCAGTGGGTCTGAATTAGTGCCACTCACCATCGCTGCTTCTTCCTCACTGTTTGTACATTTACTTTGGGATCAATGTAAGCTACCTACCATCTGGTGTTCACTGATCACTGGAGCCATCTACCCACTTGCATGGAGGAAATTTCTTAGGGTATGCAATTAATGATGTCTCTTTCCTCCTCTCTTGCAGTTTTGGGGTTTGAGCACTGAGACCGGTTTTTCTGGCTGAGAACTAGTGCGCAGCAAGGACAACAACTGCTGCTGCAGTGAGTGTATTTTCCTGGCCAAAACATTCTCAATAGCTGTTTGATATCCTGGCAATAGCTGAATATAATCTCTCTTCTGGAAAAAACGAATGGGGAGAATGTCTCATGCAGTCAGTGCTCCTAGTGACTGCAGGGAGCCATTCCACTCATTGACTACACCAGTGAGCACACGCTCCTGTAGCATTTCTGTATCCCTGTTGTGCTTCATGCCTGGTGTCATTTTCTGAAGAGGAGGAAATACAAGGTCATGGAGCTCCTCTTACCTCTTCAGCCAAACTGTTAACCTTTGCCACTAGGGAAGCACAGAGAGAAGTATCCTACAAAATGCCTTTGTATGGTAAAAGGATCCAACTGTATGCATAGGGTTCAGTTTGTACAATAAATCATTTTGCAGTTGCCATGATCTCAGATTCAAACAAATCTGCAGATATGTCTGATGCAGCAGGGAGAAATCACAAGAATTGGATTGTAGGTGTACATTGCTGTAGTGCCAGATTAGGCAGCTAACAGTGTCTATACAGCCTAAGGTTTGTGCAAATGCACACTGGACTTTGTTTGAGCAACAGAGAGAAGTATGGGGTTATTGGTGCAAGCTCTTTCTTTCTGTGAAAAGAGAATTTTATCTTAACCCAAGGAGAGGTAAAGGCAGTGGTGTGGTTAGGTCTAAGCACACCTGTTCTCACTTTCAGGTGACAAACAAGAAGCAGGCAGCATTCTCTCCAGCAAATGTGAACAAACTTGTTCAACCAATCGCTCAGACAAACAAGAAGTAGGACTGAGTGGACTTGTAGACTAAAGTTTTACATTGTTTTATTTTTGAATGCAGGGGATTTTTTTGTATATAATTCTACATTTGTAAGTTTAACTTTCATGATAAAGAAATTGCACTACAGTACTTGTATTAGGTGAACTGAACATTTTTTACAGTGCAAATATTTAATCAAAAATAATATAAAGTGATCACTCTACACTTCATAGTCTGTGTTGTAACTGAAACCACTATATTTGAAAATGTAGAAAACATCTAAAAATATTAAATGGTATTCTATTATTGTTTAACAGTGTGATTAATCAAGATTAATTTTTTTAATCGCTTGACAGCCCTACAATTTACTCAACCTCTTTTGTACCTACAGCCTTCTGCCAGCTATGGACTATGAGGTCTTGATATGAGTGCAGCCGGCTAAGGCCTGTGTGTCACTGTGTGGTAACTGCTTGCTTGTGTGATGGGGGCCAGATGCTGTACTGTTCCTGCAGGGGAAAGGGCTTGCCTCATACCTGGAATCTTAAAAGTAGGGCTGTCAATCACACTTAACACCTGTGATTAACTGAAAACAAAATTAATGTGTTAATCACATACCTCTACCCAGAGAGGGAGGCATGGACAGGAGGTGGCTACAGCCCCAGTCCAGAGCCTATATTTGAAAATATAGAAAACATCCAAAAATATTTTAATAAATTGTATTCTATTTAACAGTGCAATTCAAACTGTGATTAATCAGGTTGTTGTTTTTTTGCCACCCCTACTTAAAAGATAACTTTAACCCTTCAAACACTGCTGCCTGTTCCAATTTTCTGCTCTGCCAACACAGATCAATAGTCCCCAGTGTCTATGTGCCTTCTCTGGTATCAGCCATGCCAGTCTGCACAGAGTCTAGTATACATGCTAGGAAACAGTAGCCAGAATGGTCACAGGAAGGCAGGCAAGATAGCACTTGCTCTACCCTGGAGTTCCATAATCACAGCAGTGCTAAGCACACCTTCACCCACTTTCATCTCAAATCCATCCTGTGAAGAGAGCTGCGCAGCAAGAGACATGCACATCCTAACCCGTGTGCACACACGGCAAGGGAGTACTCCGTGCCCCACACTAGACCTGGCACTTGGTTGTGGGGTGAATGCTCCCACAGTCAAATAGAGCAGTCAGTTCATTGGTCTGGACTTACTTAGGCTGAGATTTTAGACCTGGTAGCCACCTTTAAAGCAAGCAGGAGAGTGAAAAGGTGTTTAGCAAGGGGAAATTTAGCTGAAATCCACCATCTGCCCCTGAAAGGAGCCAAGTCACCGACTCATATGGGGGAGGGAGGGGGGGGGAGGAGAGAAAGTGTTACCACAAGAGATTCAACATTTATTTCATCATAAAAGTCCAGCAAATAAAACTATATACAGTGATCCATGCATGTGGCCAGTAACACAGAGACATTTAAAACCTGATTAAAAACACAGTCTTCACACCAGCAGGGAGGGCAGGACACAAGGTGGCATTAGCAGGGGCCACAGTCATGTTTATATTTTGGATGCTTGTTGTAGCCAACTCTCTCCCCAGCAATGAGGCTCTGAATAACCCACTCCTGTGACACAACAGGCAGCCGTAACGCTTCCGCACACTTCAGGACAGCAGCTGGGCAGGACGAGTCACTCACCACCACATCAAACACCCCCAAAGCAATATCTGCAGGGAGCAGGACACAGGCTATTGTCAGGGGGAAAAGAAAAGACTCCTCCCTCCTTGCAGTAAAGAGATGCACAGTCTCACTGGTCCAGCAGCCTTAATCAGAAAATTTTATGTCTTGTAAAGTTAAAAGTACTCCATATCGAGGCTCGAGCTCAGAGGGAGCCTCAAGTGCTGAAGATCAAAAAACAAGGCTGCCGTTTGGCAGATGAACAAGCAGCTGCTTGGTCCCACATCCTACATGAGCTCCATAGTTCATAGGTCACCCTTAATGGGACTGGAGGGAGAGGAGATTCACTGCCTGATAGACCCAGAAGGGAAGCAACTGCTGACCCAGTTTTCCCTTTCTAAAAGCACAGACTGGACCACCACCTGAACTTTTGCAGCATGCAATAGTTCACTCCCAAAATGGAGTCGGGGAAGAGCGGAGACGTCCCCATTTTATCCAGGCAGAGGGTTACCAGTTATCCTGCCCTATGTCTGCTATCCCATCACTGCTCTCACCTACAGCAGCCTAAGCCCCTCATCAAGACAATTCTAAACCATCTGAACTCCACACAAGACTGCACAGGCACTGAAATCCCAACTACTGAATATGAGATTCACACATGAGGCTCTCTGGCTGGTGGGTACCTTTGTTCTGGGCATTCGAGTAATGTTGTTTAACTGATGCTGCTCCCCCTGTCATGAGGATTTCTGACCAGAGCTCCAGGAAGTTCTGCTGTTGGTCTGATACCAGAAGAACCTTCAGGTTACCAAAGGGGTTCTCTCGGGGGTGCCTGGAAAGGGAACAAGAGGAGGGTGAAAGTGGCAGATCCCTACAGACTCAATACAGTAACTTAATTCTAGGGCCACTTACTCTGGTAGCCTGTCTGGTTAGTTAAATGACCCCTCACCACCCTTGTATCTGAATGCCTCACAAACATCAATAACTTTATCCTCCCAACAGCCCCTTTGAGGTAAGGAAGTATTAACCCCTTTTACAGATAGGGAAACGGAGGCACAGACACTGATTTGCTCAGTCACATGATGAATCTATGGCAGAGCTGGGAAATGAACACAGATCTCCCATGTTCCAAGCCATGCCTTAGCCACAAGGCCACTGTCCCTTCTCAGTGAGGACGGGGGGGTGGGTGAGGGTGAGAAAAGCTGTGGCTGGAGGGGATTGCTGAAACAAAGTATACTAGTGTTGTTCTCTTCTAATTTTTTAAGCTCTTTCTGGTAGCAAGGTGCCTGCAGCTGAAACCAATATCCTGGGTGCATTTTCATCAGAGTTGCATACAGAGGGATTGTCACTTCCCTGTTCAATTAAGAGGATAACTAAAATTAGAGATGCCACTGTTTATGAAGCCAAAATAGCAGGCCTCCTGCTGCCATATCTCATTGCAAGCCCACATTCCTGCATCCCAGATTTCTCCTGTCCACTGAGTATTTGGGAGTGTTGGGTTATTTCTGGCCCAGATGTATTAGTTGTGTTTTCCCCAAAGAATCTCCTCAGAAATATGAAGGAAATAATCTCTTTCTAGTTCCCTCTCCATTTTTTTGTCCTCTCAGTTTAGTATGCATTTGCTAGTGCAACTAACATGTTAACCTTTCCCTTACCAGATCATTAATATTTAATAAAATAGATACTGTTGTGCAACTCTGCTGCATCCACTACACAACCAAGCTCAAGGAATAGGATAACCTATCAGCTGCTTTACTCAAGTCCATAGCCAACAGCTGCTGCTTTCCTTAATAGACTACAATAGATCTGCTAGTTTTCATGGGCTAGGTAATCCATCCCCAAAAGCCCTTGTCCTAATGGAGCCCAGGATCACATGGTGCAGAGAATAATTTCTGTCCTATGGGTGGGGATAGTGTCTGCTATAGACACAGACCTTCCCAACTAGAGAACAAGGTTAGATAGCTCCAGCTGCTCTTCTCTTCCTTACTTCAGTTTTGCTTCTTGTTGTGTCCAGGGCTGAAGGCAGATTGTCACAGGAGATGGTCTGCTCACTGCACGACCCCAAAATATTGCTCCCACGCATTAGGGAGAAAACAGGGAGCTATGTTCCCCCCTCTATCTAGTTACTTATATGACTCCCATTATCACAGTAGTGTAGCACCTCCCAATCGCTAGTGTATTTATTGTCACAACAACCCTCTTACTTTAACCCTACCTATGCCTTCAGATCCTGGTTACTCAGTGCTTACCACTCCAGCAGCCTTTCCTCTTGGAGGCTGTAGCCAGCTGGGAGAAGATAATTACAGTAGTTTTGAAGTTGGTTAGCATGGCAACTGTCACGGACCCAGACATGAGATACACAGGGAATTCCACTGGCAAGGCACAGGAAGTACTTCCGGGTTCGGCAGTGCTGATCTGCAATCAGGAGACACTGATATGCCGCGTTACACTGGGGGGGGGAGGCAAAGAAACAAAGCATCAGAGCCTGGCACTACCGAGGCAGCAGGAAGAATCATTCCATAAAAACTCGGGGGGGAGGGGAGGGGAGGGAAGAGTGCAACTAAGAGCCCTCAGGAGGCACAGAGGGCAGGAGGAGAGGTGTGCTGCTGCTCCCTGCAGGACTACACTCCACTAGCCATCCACTTAGGCATCGCACATGAAGTATATTCCCTCAGTCTTCTGTGATGTCAGGTGGTTAAGGTGACTTTGTCATCTGGCTAAACCTGAAAAGTCTACCCCTTCCAGGGTCCTAAAGTCCAAGAAATCTTCTGAGCTGAGCTATGGCCTCCTGGGCTTTTGTCAGTCTACCACTCCTCTCCTTAATATCATTGTTTCATCTGATAAGATGGCAGTAGGAGGGAACCTATGGCCCAACCTATTCAGTGGTTCCCAGCCCTGGGACCCCCTAAAGAGCTGGGCTTCCTGTCCCTGTAACCAAACAAAAAAAGGACTTGCACTCTTTCCCTGGGCCTCTTCCTACTCTACCAGCCTTCCTAGCTGGCCTCCTACCCTTTGAAGAACACTGATTCCTAGCAGTCCCTCTCAGCTTGGGTCTCCCAGCTTCCACCAGGTCCTCCTTCAACAGGAGCAACAGATCACCACTCTTCCTGGTGTGGTCTCTTCACCCTGCCTCTGTACTCCTTTAGCAACAGCATGCCTTCTGCCATACTGCAGCCCTCTTTGGCCTCTTCAGAAACAGTATGAGCAGACACCCGTTCACCAGTAGTCTGTGTCTTTCCCAGGACTCCTCTCTTTACACCCTCAGCAGGCCTGCTCCTAGTCACCTGACTCTTTGGCTTCGTATGGGGAGGAAGGCCAACTCTGGTGCAGCTGAGCCCTCAGCCCTCTTAAAGGGCCACCTCATGCTGTGATACAGGACTTAAAGATCTTCTAAACTCGAGGTGGAATCTTTTCCGGAAAGTCCAGAGAGCCATCAGAGTATCCAAATATTTGGAGATTTAACCTCAAGTTTCAAACGCTCAGGCTGGAAGCTGTCTGGATCTTTGTATTTCACTGGGCCTTTCATCGGGAGATTTTCCAAGAGAGGTAGCTCCCAAGGAGTTCAGACACTTTTGGGAGTCAAGGGATCCAGGAGTTTTAAGGCTAGCCGGGGGCTACTGGGAATTCCCTGACCCTCTCCAACATGATCTTCCTAGCAACTCTGGTGAGAAGAGGCAGAGGAATGAAGGTCAGATCAGCTGAATGAGGAATCATCTGTCCTCAAGGCTGTTGATTCCAGTGCCTGGAGCAGAAGAGATCCAATGTTTTGTTCTTGATGGAAGCAAACCTATTTATTTGTGGAAAGCCCCATTTGAGAAGCACTAGAGGGAGAATCTGTTGTTCAGTTCCCATTCTCCTGGGGAAAGAGTACAGTAGCTGAGCCAATTGACTTGGGTGTTGAACTTGCCCTTGACATAGGCTGTCCCGAGAGAGAATGGTTTCTTTTCTGCCCAAAGGAGGATTCTGGTGGCTTCTGCCTGCACAGAGGAACTGCAGGTCCTGTCTTGCCTGTTGATATAGACCACTGCTGCCTGTTGCCCGACTGTACTAAGGCAGCAGAGGTCAAGGGAGGGGA